GCTGGGGATGTGAGACTCAGGGCTGATCCTTGCTCAGTCTTTTGACCCAGAAGCTACAGAAGCCAGATATGACCCCTGCTTGCCCTTGAAAAGCTTTCGGACCAAGGGGCATTGGAGGAGAGGGTGAATGGTGGTGGAAGATAGAAACTGCTTTTCACGATCCACGCTGGGCCCCAGCTGCCAGCAATACCCACGGACAATCTCTCAGCTCATCCACATTGAAGTCAGGAGCCTGCTTGGGTCCTTCATTTCCCCTTCCATTCCCTTCTGTCCCTGTTACCCCCCAAAACAGAAATGCATGGAAAGAGCTCAGGATGGTACTAGGCACCCAGGGTTATCACCACCTGCATTTCACAGGGTGGGTAAATCAGGGCTGCCCCTCTGCACCTCTCCAGACCAACTGATCGCACTGTATTTTATTGTCATCAAGATAAGGTTAGAGCTTTAAATGACTTGTTCAACATCACCTCGCAAGTAAGTTCAAGAGGAGATTCAGTTCACCCATACAGTGAGCATTTATCAAGCATGTGCTATATCCATGTGCTGCTGTCCACTCCGGGGGTTCAGCAGTGAGTGGAGCTGGCCCAGGTTGTGATGAATCCAAAGCTCTTGCTCATCCTCCCAGGGCCCCAGCTAAGCTCCCCACATGGTAGAGTAAGAGTTGTACTGTAGGACAGCAAAAGGGGACCCCAGCATGCATCTCTAGGGTGGCTATAACTGAACCAGCTGGGCCCCTGGCAGCTGTGTACCCACTTAGAATGGAGGCCACAGGCTCCCAGGAAAGCCTCTGCCAGCTCTGGCTCTTGTCTGCCTCTGACTTTACTCCATCTGGCATCTCTGACCTGGTCCCAGGTCTTTTGCTGTGCATCTGCGTCTTTCCTCTGCCACGCCCTTGGCCTCAACACTTGGCCTCTCTTTAGCTTCTCAAGTCTGCTCTTACCTGAAATGCTTCTTACAGTCTTTTGTCACTTCAGTGCTGCAGTGTTCCTAGGCCAGCCAGAGCCCAGGGCTTCTGCCAGCAGAGGGATGAGGTGACATTGTCTGCTCTGCTTGTCTGTCTTTTGCTAGTGAACTCTGTGCTGGACCTCATCTGAGATCTGAGGGAGAGAGGCAAGGACTCTTTCAGGCCAGGGCCCCTTCTCTGACCCTGTGACCTGTAGCTCCAGCTCGGGCTGTTTGCCCCTCGAGACCAGCAGTGAGTGAGGGTCCATGCAGCTGAGAGCCTCTGTCCTTCTACACTTCTCCTCTTGCCTCAGGGACCTGGCTTGACCAAGCCGGGACACTGGGACACTGGTCTTCACCCACCCACCATGAGGAAAGGCTTTTCTTATGTTTGTCAGGACCTGGAGGGAGCCCCAAGCAGAGGCTGCCTTTTTACTCTATGTCCGTGATCTTTTCCCCTAAAAGTTCCTTCTCTGGACAACCAGACTATGAGGGTAGCATCCCTCCCTTTGTATACCCACCAGTGGACCTGGCAAGTCACCTAAGTGAGGATGCTGAGGTTGGTGGAGCCACACATCAGTACTGGAGTGTTAGCTTCTGCCAAGGCAGGGAGAAGTATTGAGACAGCACCTTACAAGAGAAGGGGCAGGAGTGAGTGGAGAGATGGAAACAACTCCAAGTTGACTCAAGAAGGCTCAAGCAGACATTCTGAGCAAGCTATAAATGAGAAACAGATTTTTGTTTGAACAGAGGAGGTACCCTCTCAAGTCAAAGTTGGAAGCAGAAAATCTCTTTTTCATGCTATTTTGTACGTTTTCTCTTTTTGTGAACCAAGATCAATGTGTACATTCTTAGCAGAGAGCCATCCATCCACCCACCCATCCATCCATCCACCCATCCACCCACCCACCCACCCATCCACCCACCCAACCACCCATCCATCCATCCACCCATCCACCCACCCACCCACCCACCCACCCATCCACCCACCCAACCACCCATCCACCCACCCAACCACCCATCCACCCATCCACCCATCCATCCACCCATCCACCCATCCATCCACCCATCCACCCATCCACCCATCCACCCATCCACCCATCCACCCATCCATCCATCCACCCATCCACCCATCCATCCACCCACCCATCCACCCATCTTCCCCATTCACCCCCACATACCTATCCATCCAGACTCATCCACCCCGCCACCATGCATCCATCCATCAAACATGCATTAAGCACCAACCGTGTGTCTTGGTTGGTGCTGAGTTCTAGAGTTGGTGAAAATATATAGACCTGGAAAAGAGCATTGCTCAAACCTGTTCTTCCTCTGGCCTTTCTGAGTCACATCCTGTTTTTTCCTCTTCATGACAGGCCTTTCTGCATTCATACATTTGTATCATATGAATCACTTATGTAATTAAGTACTTTAATTTATTGTGACTAGAAGTGCTGGAGGGAAAAAAGGAAATTCCGCTGGGCGCTAGTCTGGGCCACTGCAGGGAAGGTGTTGCCCCGTGTGTGTGTGTGTGTGTGTGTGTGTGTGTGTGTGAATGCACACATAGGCGGGGATGTGGGTCAGAGAGTCCCAGCTGGTTGAATAGCATTGGCTGTGAGTGGTTGGCCAGGAGATCCACAAACGTCTTAAGAAGAGAAATCTTCACATCATCAAGGACTCTCAGCTCTGAGTTATCCTTTTGGAAGAAATAAAATAAAAAATAAGACCAAGCCAACTCTAAGTGGCTTACATCCTCTTAGAACACCTCCATTATTGGTTTGTATTTCAGAGGGGAGGTACACATATTAGAAATAATTTTGCAGTGGTAGAGGCTCCTGAGAGCTGGGGGCTGACAAGAGCAGGGAGTGGGTTTGTCTTTCTCATCAAGGCAATGATCCCCCAGGGTTCAAGGAGTGGGAGACAGTGTTCTGTCCTGTCTGTTCCCTGCAGGACGGGGGTGAATTCCCAGTGGTGGGAGTGATTTCTCTCTGCTGTCAGGTAAGCACCTGTGTGGTGCAGGACCTTGAAAAAGGTCACTAGGCACTGACATGCCTGCTTCCCTGTGGCCTGAGGACCTTGTTTAAATCAGCAGTGGTCGGTCACGCCAGGCGTGCTCCTGTCCGTCTTCCACCTACCAAATGGAGAGGCGTCAGACATGCAGGCCTTAGTGACATACATCCCTGTGCCCACTGCAAGGACACCAGTTGAGGGTGGATAGGACAGGGCTGTGCAGGAATGGTCAAGCACAGGGACATCCATGGAGGAAGAGGTCAGCTCTGCTCAGACATGTCACGGCAGAGATGACCCCCGGAGGTTAGCATGAGTTGGGGAAAGGGCACGATGGAGCAGATGTGTGTGATGCCCTGGACCAGCTCCTTTGGGCCACCTCTGATTTCAGTTGCAGAGGACAGTTCCTAACACCCAGGTTCCTGTCTGGGCCTCTGCTTTGGGGGTAACCCATCTAAGACTTGTGAGGAAGGGAATTGTAGGCTGAGAACAAGATATGGAGGTGTTGAGAGTGTGAGGGGCATACTGGGGAGCAGTGGGAGGGGGCTGGAATTCTTCCCACAGCCCAAGGATCCTATTTGATCTTCCCAGGAGTCCTGTGAGGCCAACATATTGTCCTATGTATATCCGGCGGTTTTGTTTTTCTGAAATATTTTTAGCAGACACCTTGCTGCTGAGGTGTGCAGAGAATCATCCCCTTGACCCACTTTGGCTAATGGTTGTTTGTGCAACAGTTACCCGTGAGGGGTCACAGACCTGACCGAGGGTGGGTGTTACGTCCCCCCGCCACTTCATGCTCCGTGACATCCCCTTGGAGGAGCGGGGTGGGGTGCGGTGGTGGTAACCTCGGGAAGCAGGGCTGTCCTCCTCCCCACCAAGGGCTCTTGTGACCGCTGGAGTCCAGGCTCACGCCCATCCGGGTCTTAATCACGGTCATGAGGGTGGCCCAGACCTGTCCCACTCCTGCATTTCACCACTGTGGTGCCGCTCTTCTCACTGTTACTACGAACTTTGCCTTACTACCGTGCTCTCGAGAGTTCTGAGAGGGACTGTGTCTCCTCTAAGATCCAGCTCTACTGTGGACAGCTAAGCAAAGGAGTAATTCTCAGAGGCTCATGGTTGCAAATTCCAAAGGCGTCCCCTAGCCAGCAGTGATGTCACTGTAGCGCAGGCTCCGTGGCCTCCAGAATCTCACACAAGCTGCTGGTGTCACTCAGGCCACCATCTGCCCTAGGCCTGTCCAGGGACCAGAGTGGTCTTTCTAAGGCACAGGTCTGATTGCAGGCACAGATCCTAAAGCCACCTATGTTGTTCCTCTTTAGCATGGCCCACAAGGTTCAGGATCCCTGCCTCCGTACTGTCCCCTTGAAGCAGACATCTTGAACTGTTCTGAGTCCCTCTAACCCAGGGGTCAGCCAGCTGTGGCCCACTGTCTGTTTTCTAAATGAACTTTTCTTAGCACATCCTCTGTGTCTGTACCATTTAGAACAGCTTTCCTGCTAGACCAGCATGGTTGAGCAGTTGCAAAAGAGACTGATAAGGCCCACAGAGTCTAAAATCTTCACTATCTCGTCCTTTGCCGAAAATGCTGGTGGAACCTGCTCTACCTGGCCCGGCTTCTTTGCACCTTCATGCCTCTTCAAATGTGGTGCCTTCCCTACAATGCTGCCCACCCTTTATCCTAATCCTTCTAGACTGAGCTTTGTGCCCATCCTTCCCTCCATCCTTTGTTACCTGAGTGTGATGCCCCCTCCAGTCTTACATAGAGCTGTGTCCAAGCCTCAGTCAGGGCTCTGATCGCACTGGTTCTGTTGATGGACAGATCCACCTCCCGCTCTAGTTCCTGAAGCGGGGCCAGGTCTGATTCTACTCAGGACTCCAGCACCTGGCTGGGTGCTTGGATGACCAACTGGAAGCCGAAAGATCATGGCCTAGGTATTGGGCCCCACTTCTCAGTGTTAGCATCGTGGGTCACTCTAGTCCTCTACTGGTTTCTCCCTGTCCCTGGAAATGCACCAATGGAAAGGGTTTCACCATCTTTGTCTTTGCAGATCTCTAACCTCTACCTATACGACAGCGTCCTGATGTTGGCCAACGCCTTCCACAGGAAGCTGGAGGATCGGAAGTGGCACAGCATGGCAAGCCTCAACTGCATCCGCAAGTCCACCAAGCCATGGAATGGAGGGAGGTCCATGCTGGACACGATCAAAAAGGTGTGTGCAAGGGGCACCCTCCAGGCCAAGGCCAAAGACAAGCCCCTTCTCACACCCCCACTCTCTTCCCGCTCCAGGAGGATGAGCTCTTTCTGTGGTCACCCAGCCAGGCCCCTCCCAGGCCTCTCCACTTGCCACCCTTCCTGTCCCGGCATTTGAGGGCTGGTGAGCTGGGGTTCGTGGATACGTGTTATTATTATCTTCATTTTATACAAGGAGATTAGTATCAGAGAGGTTATGTAACGTGCCCAGGATCACAAGTAAGTAAGAAAATGGAGGCAACCAGCTTGCTCATGCCTGCCAGATACCCCACTCTGCAGGCTGCCCCTGCCCCCAGGAGAGTTTGTCTCAGTTGGCAGTGCACGTACTACTCAGCAGGACCTCACGTTGTGTGTGTGTGTGCATGTGTGTGTGCATCCCTGTGCATACATCGGCGTACCTACGACTTGGTGGATTTCGTGTCACACCTTTGCATGTAGGACATCACGTGTCCTATATGCTTAGGTGTGACAGTAAATCCATCAAAAGACTGGATCTGAAGTGAACTGGGTAATCCACAGAAGTGTTAGCGTGAATTGGCTTTGAGAGGCTTCAAAAAGACATTTAGGGAAATCTATAGTGCCGGGAGTCTTAGTCACGGTAAATTCTGCATGGTTTCCATAGCAGAGAATGGAGTCTGATGTTGGTTTGAATCTGCTGCAGCCCAAGCCCGAGCGGGGGCCTCTTGGGGGCCAGCTCATTCTCTGGGACTCTCCCCACTTACAGTCTGTGGGAGACCAAAGCTGGCTGTGATCCCCCACCCCAGGCTTGAAGAAAGAAAAGGGCTCAGCACAGGTTCACTCAGCCCCTCTGCCACCTGCTACTCCAGAGGCCGCAGAGCGACCAGAGAGGCGCAGGGCTGGCACGCCCCTACATCCAGTGTGTGTCAGACACCACGCTTTGTACCCATTTTCTCCTTCGGCCCTTGCAGGCTCTGTGATGTGGGTCTAATGAACTCCAGGCCGAAGCTGGGAGATGGGAGATGACTTGCCCAAGGTGGCAAAGCCAGACTTGAGCTGGGTTTTAGCCTCCAATGCTCACGCTCGCTGCCCCGCCACTTCCCGCCACCTGTGTGAGATGGCTCTCGCTGACCTTGGCCTTCCGTCTTGGCTCAGGCTAAGGTGAGCCCCTAGAGCAGGTTGCAGTGAAAGACTGTAAGCTCCAGGAGGGTGGGGACAAAAGCCGCCCCTCTCTGATCTCAGGGCTGGCACGGTGTGTGGCATAAAGCAGATGCTCTGATCATATCAACGGCATGAATGATGGGGACAAGCCTAGGAACTTCCCTTGTGAGCAAGGGCCTGGGAAGTGTTGAGCCTGCTCCGAGGCCCCAGGACCGCCAGCACCTCTTGCCTTATTACAGTGCATCCATTGTTTCTCAGACGTTGGCGACCACTTCCTTTCTCTTCCTTCCCTTTGGGGTTCCATCCCCTACCCGTCTACTTTTGCCCTACCTTCTCATGGTTTTTCCTTCTCTCTCGCAGGGCCACATCACTGGTCTCACAGGGGTGATGGAGTTTCGGGAAGACAGCTCGAACCCCTACGTGCAGTTTGAAATCCTGGGCACGACCTACAGCGAGACCTTTGGCAAAGACATGCGGAAGGTAAGCCTCAGGGCGCTCACCTCCTGCTTTTCCTACTGCCGTGCGTTGGGCCTGTGTTCCAAGCAGATGTTAACCGGCACGAAAGTCCCCTCTCCAGTCTTTCTCTGCAGATGCTGCTGTTGATGCTGGTGTTCGTGGGACATGGTGGGGAGGAGGCTCCAAGGGGTTTTGGACAGAAAGTGCCACTGATTCAGCTCTGAGTACAGCAGGGGCGTCTGGTGCCCGTGGGTCCTGCTGCTTGGGCCTGGAGGACCAGCCTGTGGTCCTGGACAAGGCCAGCAAAAGGGGTGATGTGTTTTCCTGGAGTCGCTGAAATCAGCCCAACGTTGGGGACAGGTGTGACTGTTACTAAGGCAGGAGGCAGAGGTTACGGGCAGAGAATGTCCCCGATCCAAGGGTGAGGCAAAGCCATGGCCAGAAAATGAGCTCCATGGAGCGTGAGAAGCAGGCAGTGCAGGCGTCCGCTGGAGACACAAGTGAGAGACAGGTGAGCCACAGAGTTCAGGGTGGGCTTCGACTTGCTTTTATCTGTTGCTGATGCAAGTGGCAGGCCTGGGGACTCTTTTCAGTGATACTTTGTCTCTTCCTCCCCCACCCCATGGTGGGGGGCGTTCAGAATTGAGGTCTGGCGAGGTGGCCTTTACCCAGAGTTGGGACTCCCCAAATTGAAGGGGAGGCCTGTGAAGTCAAGAGTCGAATAAGGTGTTAAGACCAAGAGGTCAGTGTGGCAAGCAAGGGGATGAAACAGTCATCCAGCAAGCGACCTCAGATGGTGCTTATGAGCCGGTGTGGAGCCAATAGCGGCGGTGCAGGTAAGGGCAGTTGCTGGCTCTCCAGGGATGCTCTCCCACAAGTGGCCTGCACAGGAAGACCACGTGCTTGTTGGAGCCAGAGATGGGAGCACCCATGATGTAAAGGGGTCACAGGGCTCCGTGTAATCAGGAAAGCACTAAAGCATGAGCTGGTTGGCATAGACTCAGGCAGAGGCTCCTGCAGTCTCACACACACACACACACACACACACACACACACACACACACATTTCTGTACATCTGAGGGGGAGACATCTCTACTAATGATAGTGCCCTGGAGATGAAGCACATGGTGAGTTCTCAGCAGGTGGGATAAGCCTCTAATAGAGAGCCCTCTAGCCTGGCCTCTAGCATTGGCTGGGGGCGGCAGAGGGGCAGGAAGGGGTTACATGATGTTGGGGTACTGAGAATCTGGATGAAGGCATTCTCTGGCTGTGCTCCTTGAGGACCAGATGGAAGGATGCATGTGTGAAGTCGTGGAGGGTGTGAGAGCTGGAAAGCACGGGGGGAGCTCTCATCAGTTAGAACACGGGGAGGAGGCCTGGCTTGCTAGGGAGAGGCTGGGTTGGCTGGGGGTTCCATTTGTGATGTGTGGATGGTGGACTTTCAGCCCGTTCCGTGACAGAAAGTATAGTCATGAGTTAGTCAGATAATAAGTTCAATAATTGGTTGTGAGGCAATGGTGACACCCAAGCTTTGATGACATTTGGGAGCTCGGAAGATTGATTGTGGCATCAGAAAGGGGGTTAGTGACTATGGTGTGAAACCTTGGGAAGCCAGGGTGTGGCCTGCAATGTCAGGGGTGTCAGAGCTGACCTGTGATGTCTGTTAGGGATGCCCAAAGCTGTGAGGTTTGGTGGGTGGGAGCCTGGGGATGGGTGGTCAGCGTTGGTCTGGGTCATTCATGGCCACAGTAGAAACTGGCTTATGTTGGGACTTCCACCTGGCAAGGGGAAACCAGGACCAGGGAGCCCTTTCAGTCAATCTGGTATGAAAGGAGCTGCCTGCCTCAGTGACCATTCATATTTGCCACAGTACTTGTCTTCATCCCCAAGTCTTCCTCTGAGATCCTAGAAAATCAGACCCTGCTTGCTGGCTCCTTTGCTACCCCCCTCCACTTTCTTTTAGCTCAGCTCTAACCCCAAGGTCTCCCCACTGGGTGGGAATGTTGGCTGTAGGGCTCCCTGCCTCGTCTTAGGCAGCTGACTGGGGTCATGCTGGCCACTCCAGGTGCCTGAGAGAGGGAAGGTACTGTGTCCTCCACTTCCCATTTCAGGTGTCTGGGCCTTCCGTGTTGCCGTGGCAACGCTCCTTCAATACCCTGAAGCCAATGGGAGCTTGAATCTCTCGGTATAAGGAGCTGCTGAGCAGGAGGTCTGAATGTGATTGAGTTGGAAGGGAAGCTGATTTTCAAGTGGGCTTTATTTTTAAATGTAATCTTTTGTCATTTTAAAATCTGCCCTTAATAACTGCATATCCCAGTTGTTATCTGTCTGCCTGGCAGCTTATCTCTGTTAAGGAGAAGTTATCTGGAAAGCAGGGAATGGGATTTACCATAGCAAATGTTTGCTATTCAGGCCCAGGGTGCCTTAAAGCAAGGCCTGTGGGGGTTCAGGATGAAGCAAGGAGAGCGCCTTGGGACAGAGTGGCACGGGTCTAGGGGAGCATTTAAAGGCAGAGCCGAGCTGTGGTTCCTGGTGGAAGATGGGGATGGGAGGGGTAGGGCTGGGAAATTGGGGCAACCTAAAAATAAAGTTGAGGGTGGGCAGCAGATGTGATGGTAGGGTTAGGGTTCAGAGACACACAAAAGGCAGTGCAAAGATCAGTCATCCTTAGGAGGCAAGGGCAGCTCTGAGGAGGCGCCCTCAGCTGCATCTCTCTGTGGCTAGAGGAGCCAGCTGCACTGACGGTAGGATCCTCTCATGGTGGAGCAGTGTCAGGGGGTCCCTGAAAAGATGACAGGTATCAATATATGAATATATCCTCTATCTATCTGTACTGAAAAACAACAACAGTAAACGAACACGGACACAAAAGCAAAAACCAAGTAGTTTCTTTAAGATTTAAATCTAGAGGAATTGTTTAAATTAGGGAGCAAATGGATGTTTTCTTAAAGTGAATACCCTGGAGGGAACTCTCAGGGAGGGTGAGTCACCCAGACAGTTTAGGTTAAGCGGCATCAAGAGGCTGTAGATTACTCAGCCCTTCCAGAGGATGGAAGGAGTGGGTGACCGCCTTTCACTGCAGGGTGTTGGACAAATACTTACTAAATTATCTCATCCAGGAAGCACATTCTTGTTGAGGGAGTGTGGGATGGCACAATCAAAGGTCCATGTCACCCTCTTGCTGTGTAACTCCAGGCAAAATATTAATCGTCTTTGTGTTCCGCTTAGAGCTCCCTGGCATGGGTGATTACCAAGCAACCCCTCCAGGGGCAGGCTTTGCTGGAAAGTCTTGTCCAGCTCCCACAGGACTTGCCTTAATATTTGTCCTGGGGACCCATGCTTGTTCCTGTTGGAGCCCTACACTTTTCTCTTTGGCTTTCTCTTTGTTCGGACGGAAGTCTCCAAAGGAGGGTCCCATGGGTTCGTCCTTGCAAACGTCCTCAGCTCATGACATGAGCTGGGATGGGATTGGTGGAGACCACCTGTAGGAAAGTGTCCAAAGGTGGGGGCAGGGAACGTTGTTTAAAGCACAGGACAAGAGGGAGCCGAGGAGGGACCACTGAGCACCTGCTGTGGACAAGGATGCATCACAGTGCGTTGTCTCCCTGACCTGGGGGCCTTTGTGATGCGCCTGGCTCTGCTCTCCTGAGCTTTTGCAGCCACTTCCTTCTTGTGAATTTTCATGTTCTCAGATGGAAGGTGCAAACAGTAGGAACCTCGTGGTCACCCAGGGTCATGACCCTCATGCAGCACTTGGCAGCGAGCGCTCTCCCGTGTGGCCTGGGCCATCAGCTTCGGGCGGCTGGAGCTATACACCTTCTCTGAGTTATCTACCCCAGATTCCACAAGAGCAGAGAGGCACAGGGAGACTTAGAGCATGGCTTTCTGCCTGCAGGTGCCCTGGATAGGCAGCTCCTCTCCACACCCGTGTGCCAAAGCCTGAGGCCAGAGACAGGAGCAGGGCTCTGCATGGTGGGCAGTGCCCATCCCCCCTTCCATGCCCGGGGGCAGATTCCACTCCTTGTAAGACCAAGGGCTGAGAGGGAGCTGGGGGCTTCACCTCTGATGAGATTTTGTTTTCAGGACTGTTTTGATATGATGAATGGAAGAAGGAAAACATGGTTATAGTCCTCCACAAGCATGACTTGCCTGGAATGTAACGTGAGCCACAGCCCAGCAGAAACATTCTTCCATGACATGATTGCTGAGAATGTCTGCCCTTCTCTGTCCTAAAGATTTCCATTGTGGGGGAATCATTCCTTTCCACTAACGAGGTTCCCTGGTACAGTGAAACTCTGGGAAAATTGCCAGATGCCTGAAGGCCCTTTGAACCTCATTTCCCATGGGCACCATCCACCTAATTCACTAGCTCAGTGGAGGTTAGCCTGTCTCCTTGGGCAGAAGGGTGGGGAAGTGGGCGGGAAGCATCTGGAAAGCCCGTGAAGCTGCTTTATGCGTTGACATTCCTGGACAAAGGACACCCTGGTGTGATGAGAGAGAGAAAGGGACTATTTGATGCTCCTTTCCATAGAGTAGAATTGAGTTAGGACCAAGAGACTAAGAAAGGATTTAGCCCAGTGGATTTCCAGCTTTTCTCTAGTCCTAGAAAATCTGTTGCAGCAGTACCTTACTGCAACCCAAATATATTAAACTGTCATGGAAGCGGACATGCCGTGGTTACGATGGTGGGGAATTGGGGCAGGGGGTCTCGAGCTTCACCCAATCGGTCTCCCTGGTCCCCAGCCTCTCCATGGTGTTCTGTGCAGCTCCAGTTGGAAAACTGAGGCCCAGAGCCTGGAGAGACTCAGTTAGGTGGTACCAACAAGCAGGTGGCTGCGCTGGGGCTGGAAGCCAGGTTTCCTGGGGTGGGTATGGGGGTATGTGTGGCAAAGGGCCTGGAACATCATTTCTGAATTTAGGATTATGCGGTTCTGTGACTCCCTCACTCCCCTCAGCCTGTTTTCCGCTGCTGCCCACCTCACTCCCCCAGCCAGCGTTAGGGCCCCACAGTCCCTTCCCATTG